CCAGTAGACGGGAATTCTATGATATTCCTAATCAGTATTCCTCAAAACTGCCAACTTCATTAAAAAGAAGGTAAGTCTGAGACACTGTCACAGACAACAGAAGCCTAAGCAGATATGGTAACTAAATAACTAAATGTAACAAGATGGGATCTTGATACTGAAAAAGGACTTTAGGTCCTTTTTAGGTTTTTAGGTAAGTAAAAACTAAGGAAATCTGAATAAACTTACTAAAATGTATCAATACTGGTTTATTAAGTGTAACATATATGCATACTAATGCACAATGCTTATAATAGGGATAACTGTGTGCAGGGGGTAGGAGTAACATGGGAACTTTGTACCATCTAAACTTTTTTGTGAATTTAAAACTGTTCTAAAAAAATAAAGTTATTAATAGTAAAAAAATGAAAAAAAGCGCAACGATTTAAAGAAAAAACACTAAGGCAAAAACAGCTAAAACATTTTATAGTTAAGGTAATCCTTTGTTCTAAAAATTATTTCCGAGGCACAGTCTGGGTGGGAACAATGAGTTGTCCAAATTCCTATAAAGACTATAACAAAACAAAACAAAACAAAACACTTCTACTGATTAGAAGGTAAACTATAGGAAACTTATAGTGATTAGGCCACAGTTTTAGAACAATAATTTTCTCTAATTGGATTTGTCAAAGTGTTCCTGCAGGTACTGATTTAATTCAATTCAATACACATTTATCGAACATCTGCTATATGAAAGGCTCTTGGTTTGGCATTGGGTGGTGGCTACAAAAGTTGAGGAAGACATGGCTCCTGAAACTAAAGAGATTAGCATCCAGAAGAGCTTAAAAACGTAACATGAATCCTCAAAAACAAGGCAGGATGTAAATGGGAATGCAAACTAGAGGGAGAGAGAGGTCACTCCAAGAAAAGGCACAGCACTGGAAAAGTGCAAGGCATTTATTTGCAAGAATTGATAGGTTAGTTCTGCTGGAGCATATGTTGAGGGAATCATGAGCCGCAGGGATGAAGAGGGTCATAGGGCACTAGGATACAGCATGACCAGAGCCACGCTTCTGCAACACTAATAAGACCAGAGCTTGAAAAATGGATGGAAAGGCAGAGAGGACCACAGGCGAGGAAGGGGGGCATTACAACAGCCTGGCAGGGCAATGGGGTCAGAAGCTCGGATTTCCAGTGAAAACAGAATGAAGAAAACACACGGCATGTGGCTTTCATTGTCCAGACTGCATTTTACAAGACTGTACACAGCTCAGGGACTATTCTAGCAGCAGGTAGTCATAACGGTTAAGACTGCCTCACATGTACTGTTCTGAAGCAGGTGCACGTACTTGAGGGAAGTTGCTGATACAAAAGGGTGTTTTTTCAGCTTGCTCAAGCTGATGCAAATTCACTTAACATACCTTTCCTTCCCTTCTTCCTGTTCTATACAGCTCTTATTTTTTCCTGACTATAAAAATAGTACATGCTCATCATAAAACTGGGGGTCTACATAAAATAAAACCCACTCACAATTGTATAATCCTGTGATAATCACTTTTATAATTTTAGTCTATTTCCCTCCACCCATTACTTTTCTATGCATGAAGCATCGGGAAATAGTGCAGTTGGTTAGTTAGAGAAATAATCTTAATTATGTGCACTCTTAATAGGTGCGATCTTCTACTATAAATATGAAACCAGCACTGTACATAGAAAACAGTTGTTGTTTTGAACACTAGGATCTACAGCTGCTTGTCTGAATGGCTGGACTCCATTTCTGAGAAGCTCTTTTGTATACATTTCATGGCAGTGAACTGTGTTGCAATCCCAGATATATAGGTGTATATATATGGCTCTAAAAATATATAGCACAGAATGTAAAGGCTTATCTTAACAAGATAAATCTTAACAGAAAATAAAACTTATAAGAATGTACATAAGAAGTATTCTAACTCTGAAATACCCTATTCCAAAAGACACAATTGTTTTATAATGAAAATTTTTAATAGTGTGAAGTATACAACTATCATGCTATAGCACAACAGGCTGCTTATATTTTATATTCACGAAAATGCATATATTTACCAAACTGGAATAAACACATATAGACACACCCACACACGTATATCCTGCCTTGTCTCTGATTGTAACTCATATACAAATAAATATTTTTAAATATTCTTCTTTGAATGTGCACTTCAATCTGTCTAAAATTTACCAATTCTTCAAGAGCCATGCCAACTTTTGCCTCCATTATAAGCATTCAATGATAGCCTATTTATTATTTCTGGATGATAGCAATAGATCCTCTGAATTGCTTTACCAGTGTCTAGCCTGTTCTTTTTACAAATCATTTTGCTGAAATGATTTCTCTCAAACATAGCACTGATCATGTCATTTCCCAGCTCAAGAGGCCTTCTTACCAGTTCCCAATGGCCACATGGTGAAGCACATACTTGTTGGTCTGGTTTCACTAGTCCAGACCACCGCCCAACCCTGCCCAGCACACCCTAAATTCCTACCAGAGTCAACCTTCTGTGCCTTTACTTCAATTTCCTCCTGCCTGCGATTCCCATATTACCCCATGTTCTCTTCTGTCTTGACAACAGTTATTTGTGAACATGTCTTTCTTCTGGATTGGGCTATAAACTCTATGAAGCCAGGACTTGCAATTTCAGTTCAGTGCAACTGAATATAAATCAAAGCCAGTGAAGACCACCTCTATTCCAGACATCGTGCAAGGTGTTAAGAGTAGAGAGATGAATGAGACGCAATCTTCACCCTCAGGGATCTCACAACCCAGAGAGGGAGACCATGTAATAAATAGCCTGTTTCAAGCACTACCCGAAACTGCAGGGATACACTCAAGATCCAGCGGCCACACAGCAGAAGATACAGGCTCTATCTGTGCAGGCTGGGCTGCGAGTAGGTGATTTCAAAGGGACAGGAGAGTGCCAGACAGCAGAGAGGAAGTGCATCATGGCCTATTCAAGCAATTATAGAAAGGTGGGTATTTCTGCAGTGAGGGAAGAAATGGATGTGCCATTAGTGGTAGCAGGTTGAACACTGTCAATAGCCTTGCAAAATATGACAGGGCTTAAAAACCAAACGTGACTGAACATCTCCTCCAAGGCTGTCTTTGGTCATTCTTCCAAATATTTATATTAATCTGAAGTTTCCATATATAATTTTGTTTCTCTCCAACTAGCCTACAAACTTTTAGAAGGCAGAATTTGCATCTGCACTTGCTGAATGTTTCAAAGCCCTCAGTAGGGTGTGTAACACAGAGTGGAAATTTTATCAATATTTTAAATACATAATCCACCCTCATCCTGGTTGTTGTAAGCTCAGTGTTTAAAGAGAATTCAAAACATCTGTTAGAAGAATTAACCAATGCTGAGTCAAGACAAAAACTGAAAGGACCAGCATATTTTTCAAAAATGTTTTAGAATAGTGATTTTGCCTCTAGAACAATTTTATTTGCTGTTAAAAAAGCAATTTAATGCAATTTGTTGCAAATGTCATATTTTAGCATATTTATGGTTGTCAATAACTGTGTAATCAACAGTAACCCAACAAGTACAAATTTTCAGCTGTGATAATTGGATTTGCCTCTCAGAATTGCTTGTATATAATGATTGTTAATCAATGGATGACGTTCCCTACAGACTGGCCAGCCCTGTCTCTCCAATCTCTGCTGGACAGGACAGTAACCGGTGGCCCGAAATGGCATCTTATCTACAGGGAGCGAGTGTGGTGTGATGGCCAATACTAGTAGGTGGGCTAAAGAAATGGAGGTGAATGAAGAGTGAAGTTGGAATAATCAGCGTCCCACTCTGTTAGATTTATACCAAGTCAGAGTGACAGCACCTTGTGTTTATTCGGGGGAGAAAGCAAGAAATGTATGTGAGTGTGACTGTATGAATCCGTTTGCTTAAACTGGAGCAGCAACAGGGCAAGAGGAATTCTCTCATAGGACCCTATCCAATGAGAAAAAGAAAAGTGAGCCTTTCCTTCACTTAACCAAAGAAAAGACGTAAAGGCTATAAATAATAAGGGAGATATAGGTAGGCATGCATACAGGTATAAATAGCCAAAAGAAGACTGCAAAGAAATGGACAGATGTATGTGGCAAAGTCACAGGCCACAGAGTAAAGGATCACATGAGAGAGACAGCGAAGAAGAAGAAAATCACTACAGGGATATATTTAAATCAGACACTCAGAAGGTTCCCTGCAGGATTATTTGACCCCTGATTCTTTTGCTGGGATGCTAACCCACTCTGCCACATACGTTTGTGTTCCTCACTCCTCCTCTTGTCGAGGTGATGGTGAGGAAGGAACACATGTCTATGCTGTTAAATTTTAACTCCTAAACGTCATTGCCCATAATTCCATGCTTTCAGTTCTTCTCATTTTTTATAATTTTTTTAATGTTTATTTACTTTTGAGAGAAAGAGAGAGAGAGAGAGAGAGAGAGAGAGAGAGAGAGAGAGAGAAGCAGAGCACGAGCAGGGTAAGGGCAGAGAGAGAGGGAGACACAGAATGGGAAGCAGACTCCAGGCTCTGAGCTGTCAGCACAGAGCCCGACGTGGGACTCAAACCCTCGAACTATGAGATCATGACCTGAGCTGAAGTCAGCCACTTAACAGATTGAGCCACCCAGGCACCCCTCCACTCTTTCAGTTCTAAGGGGGACAGGCAAGTGCCAACGGTCTGGTTGTCATCATTTTCCCTGGAGATGAAAGAACCAAGAAAGTGTCACCAAAGAGAGAGTCAGTCCAATGAACGTACCTAGATAAAGCATATGCAGGTACAAATGCCACTATGTGTTATTCTAAGTGACCGTGTCTGTGGAGAGAGGTACTCACAGAACTATGCTCTAATAAACACTCCAATCCCAAAAGTCAGTTGATCCTGCCAGAGACCCATAAATGATCCTATATTTAATTCCTATTTCTTGTCCTTTCATTTTGGAGACCTAGCCCTCCCCGGCCGACATTGGAAAATCAGCCCTCTTACATCAGTCTGGGTATGTCACTGACAGCCACTGTCCCGTCATGGGCCTCGCTCTCTCCATCTTCCTCCTCTTCATCACTACTTTCCGACTCCTCGCTAGAGGAGGAGTAATCAGTCACCTTCTTCAGCGGGCGGTTTGTTTCTTCAATCCGGAGTTCTCTTAATTCTTTGGCTAATGCCGTCAGATCCTACAAAAGAAAAGTTTGTTCAGCATGTAGGAATTGTAGATACAACAAAGTCACATCTCTCAGCAAGTCAGTGCTCCAGCTTAAGCAACAAGAAAAGAAAGCTCTATATAGAACGGTTACAAACATAGTTGCTGCATGGAACTCAGAAAACGATGTTTGTAGCACAGAGAAACTAGAAAAGAAAGATGAAATAAATTTAGACTTTGCTCAAAACCAATTGCTAGACTGAGACGGCTCAGTTCTGAATATACGCGTGTATATATGTGTGTGTGCGTTGTGTGTATACACATATATACAAACATTGGGTTCTCATTTTATTTTGGGAAGGTGAAGTCGGTCACCCTCAGAGTATATGAGAAAACACAGGGGATTAGCAATTGTTCCCCAGTATTTTGGGTCTCCTGCCCAAGCCACGGTCATGGCCTCTCCCCTCTTTGATTGCTACTGTACCAAAATCTAGCATCAGTCACAGAACAGAGCAATTCCCAAGGTTCCAGCTACTACAATGGCTCATTTGGTGGGTCATCATTCCCTGGAGAGCAGAGGCACCACATCAAATAATGGCCCACCCCAAAGCCTAGTGCCACTGAAATTTATAGCCACAGAGCTGAATTAATCAAGAGGAACAACAACAACAAAATCGAAAAGAAAAAAGAGAAAGGAAAAAAAAAACCAGGGAAATTCTCTTCCAGAACGATAGGTGTTTCATTTTCTTTTGTTTAAAATTACAGTCACCTGGCAGAAACCCTTATGAGGAATACCAAAGTGCATGTGCAAACACCAAAAGAGAAGAGATCGTTTTTCAGTTTTCCATGAGTATGATGCAATGTTTAGCCTTATGGATGTGATGATGTGGTATTTAATCACCAGGCACATTGCAGGCAGTGTGCTGAATCTCTGACTACCTTTTATTTCACATGCTTTCAGAGCAATGCAGAGGGAAGCAGTTCTGCAAAAGCATGGCCGCTCTAATTTGCATGGGTTAAACTGCCCATGGCACGTAGCATGCAAATGAGGAAAAAGCAATTTGATATCAGTCTTACCATTTCTCCCTATATTAGTGACCCATGTGGGAATCAGAGCATTCAGTGAGAGACAGGGGATTAGGGAGAAAGAAACTCATTGAAAGATACTAAATCCCGCAGTTTTCTTATGGCCATATTCTCTCTTTATTTCAATTCAGAAATGTATTTGTCCAATTCACCTGATGTAAGATTAGAGCAATGTAGATGATCTAAATGATCCCTGATAATCTATCCTAATTGGTCAGAAGAAAAACTGAGATAAATGTGTATCGTTAAATTATAAATATAATTTTATTTTGAGGAGATAACAAATCATCATGTTTCTTTACTGTCACCTGTATATTAGGCATTACTATGTTGGTTAAATGCTTCAGGTGTTTTATTTGGTGTAGAATTTAGGAAGGTCAAGGTGCTAAGTGAAGGTCCAGGGTCATTTCTTTCTCATTTCATAATAAAGTCAAAGGAAAGCACAACTTTTAAATTTGTTCTGAAGTCACTTGAATTGAAGCACTTGGAAAAGGGTAGTTTCTGAAAATTCAAATTGTGCATTTTCCACCCAAACATGCTTGCTGGGCTTTTACACACATGCACACACGCATGGCCTCAATCTCAGTGGATATATTTACCCCATCTGTGAAAGTGAAAATAGAATTCTATTAAAAAGACTCAAAGGTGTTTAAATATAACGTATACCATTAAAGAAGAAAATTACCACATAGACAGAATTTTATGCAAATCTACTTGTTTCTTTGGCAATGGGCCAAAACAGGAAAAGCCAATATTCAGATTTCAGCTTATACTCTTCATTTCCTCTTGACATTGCCAATGTTTACCTTTATCAATTGAGAAGAAAGTGAAGGGTAATGCAATACTTGAGCACAGTGGGAAATATAGTTTGGATATTTGTTAAAGCTATGAACAGAAAAGGTATTACAATCTTCCAAACCAGTAAAATAGTAACAAAATTTATTTTCTCTTTTGTCTTCTATATTTTAGGAGCATGTTAGGTCTCATCAAAGAATATAAGGCATTTAAAATGTTACTTATCATTAAAAAAAGCATTTTATTATAATTTAAAGAGAGAATATGGTTTAAAATAATTTATTTCTAATGTCAATAATTCTGAGTAAAATATAATAATATTAGCTATGATTTATTTAAATTTATAATACGTTTTCCCCGTGGATTCATTTTCCTTATCTTTGACATTTCATGACAAGATAAAAGAGATTTTTAAAAAGTCAAAACTATTTAGAAATATTTAGCTTGTCCAAAGCCCATTGAATTAAAGAAACTCTCATTTGTAAAAATGACCTAAATTTTTCTAAACACTGTATCTAGGAAAAGTTTAAAGTTCTGACCTGCTTTACAACTTCACTTTTAATTAGAATTTTTTTTTTGTTTCTTCATTATTAAAAAGTTATCTTTCTTGAAACACTGGAAGTAATTGCAAATTCCTTTTAAGTTTACTTGGTAACAGCTTGGGCGGTGAGACGTATATGAGACTCCCGAGGTAACAATAATGAGTAACTCGAAGGTAATACCCCAGTCAAAGAAAATTAATCTTCCATTGCCAATAGTCTACATGCTTAGCTGCAGTTTTGTTCCTTATCCATCCACTCTGGAAAAATTTACAATAGCAAAGTTGTAGAAAATAGACACAATCTAAAATTGACACCATTGGGTTCAGATCCATTTTCATACATTTTATTTTCTGACAATACCAATTTTCTCCATATAATGAGTTTTTGTGGTAATTTATTGCTTGGCTGTCTCAAGCCTGAAGCTAAAAAAAATTTCAAAAAAGAGAAAAAAAAGTGCTATTTAGTATGGAAATATTTGAGAAATGCACACCTAAAAAAGAAATACGGCAAAATGGTAAGATTTTTTTGACTATGGAGTAAATGTGAAGATAGGAGACTCTTTCTTACCCAAAGGCTTGTTTGATGTAACACTTTTTAGAATTAACTTGATCCATATTTTTTCATTAAAAAAACTCTTATTTAATCTGACAATTATGTAGACTTTACCTCAAAAGGTGCTCTTTTGGGTCTCTTTTTAGAAACAATGTAGTTTATTCAGACTTTAGTTCAATTTTTTGAATTATTAAAATAAAGGTTAAAAGTTTTTAGGCTGGTCTTTTTTTTTACATATGAAAATAATTTATCTCCTTTTTAGGAAATCTTAAGAAGTGACATTGGGGAAGTTACTTAACTCCAGCATCCTCATCTGAGAAAAAAAGCTTTTAGATCACTAGCTACTGTTCAAGTTTTGTCCTGTCTATGGGTGTGCGATGGGATTTTTCAGATTCTTACACAATAACAAAAATATAGTGCTAAAGCCAGTATTTGCTTATGTATCAATCTTCATGTCATATGTTTAACTGCTAGAGTGAAAAGAATATTTTCAATGATTGTATTAAATAATCACAGACTATATTGCACAATCTTATATCCCATTAGAAAGGAATGCTAAATTAACGGACACTCCTTGAGACTGATTTTCATGAAAAATCAAACTGTTAAATTCACAATAATAAGCAACATGTTTTCCAAGAGTTTTGAAACTTCTCATTTCAATCCTGGGTTATCTAAATGGCAAATCAGTCACAATGGAAGGAAGCCATATGGAACCCTGTGACTGAAGATGGGAGAAAGGTTTAATTCAAGGTTTCTCAGCTGTGGCACTATTGATGTTTGGGGCCAGATCCTTCTCTACTCTGGGTGGCTCTCTTGGCATGGTAGGATGTATAACAGCATCTTTCTGCTCTACCCACAGGCTACCAGTAGCACTGCCCCCCACTTCCAAGTTGTGATGAACAAAACCACCCCAAACTTTGCCAAATATCTCCTAAGGGGAAAGAAGGGGATGGAAGGAAAAGGAGGGGTGGAATCGTCCCTGGGGGAGAACTACTGAGTTAGGCAGAACCAAGTAATCCTGTATTTTTAGTGGTTTGGATCAGTGATATTCAAGGCATAGGGTTAACAGAATCACCTGGAGGATATTTTCCAATCACACATGGTCCGAGGTTTTGGTGTGCCACTTACATCACCTCAATTACTTATACTTCTGTTGCTATCTCTCATCTGTGTCCAGGGTATGAGAGTAAAGCAAAATAAATAAAGCAATTTTTAAAAAGCCGAAAATATCCTGGGTTAACCAGATGAAATCCATTTTCCTCAGGACAACCACCTTCAAGCTGAAATCTTGTGAGATTTCCCTCGAGTTGCGCACACACACAACTCTTTTTCTGGCAGCCATAGCACCAGACTATTGCTTTCTGTCTTCAACCACGTGGGAAAAAACTGATAAAAGGTGTAATAATTGCTGTCCTTCTGACTATGATGAGGGAAAGTTCAGGGCTGTGGTACAAAGCAATGAAAAACGTTCCTCATTTTGCTCTCTTATAAATGCCGTCCACACACTGTAGACACATAGAGTCTCATTCTTTTATGAGCAGTAATCTTTTACCTAAGAAATAAAATTCTAAACCACTCTGAATGGTAAGGCAGTCCTAATTCTGAAAAAGAGAGGCTCTTTGGTAAAGGTGAGAAGCATAGGATCCGGCTTCTCCCACCTGCCAAAATGGCACCATGCCGCGGGCTCAAACTAGCATGAGGACTGCCTCTTGGCTTTCTCAAAATGGTCTCGCACACGTGATCTTGAGTGATCCTAATCAATCTTACATCCGAGGCAGAGCAGGTGCCTTCATCCCCATCTTACACATGAAGAAACTGTGGCCCAGAGAGGTTAGGAAACTGGTCCTGGCCAGTTATTTACTCGGGGGAGCTAGAATTTGAATGCAGCTTGCTGATTCCAAAGCCAGCGCTTTTTCCATGTCGTTTCACAAAAATAGTGCTCAGCAGAGCTACAGCCTTAAAGCCATAATAGTAGTCTTCAGATTCCATGCACTCAGGACTCTTTGCAAGGCCTGTCTCTGAAAACAAACAACAGCACAACTCCACTGTGCTGTATTCATGCAGGTCTGACAAACAGCAGGAAGGCAGTCATCCTTCTTAGCAAGCTACCTAAGATTGACAAAGCCATATATTTTTCTAATGGAAAAACGTCTCCGCAGATAAGGAAATAAAGTCACTTAACTCGCCAGGATTCATTAACTAAAGTTGATGTTGCTGCCGATGCTGTAGTTAATGTCCCACAAAATTAATCTAACAATACCCAGTAACTCCTTGTTCACAAATCACACATTATAAATTTGGAGTGCTTTAGAATGATGTCTCTTTCTCTGTTAGTAAAACCGCCATCCCCTTGCGAGGCTGGTGAGCACAGGTTAAGAGCTCGTGCGTTGCTATTGGAAGATGCTGGAATGAAAAACTGCCAATAACAAAGCACTAATGTTTATCTTTAGCTAGATTGGAACATTGGAAAAGTGACATTTTGGCTTCGAAGGAAGGTCTCTGGAGCTTTACCCGAGTGTCTGAGGGCCTCAGGCTGGCTGCCATTGAAGGGGCTTGCCTTCCAGCAGACCACCCCAGAGGAGTGAGCTTTAAATCTGTGATCCAACAGGCCACTTTTCTGAATGTCAACATCAGGAAATCACCTGTATATTTACATCTTGTGACAGCATGACCAAGAAAAGGTAATACTAACCTCATCTATAGCTTTCTTATAGCTCTGAAAAAGGAGGAACCCAATCCAGAAGAATCCACAGGAGGGGGAAAAAGCCAGAAGAAAGAGAGCAGGTTAGACACAAAATGGGAATTGTTAGTACACAACTGATAAATGCAATAGCAGAAAGGGCGTCAACCCCAAATGGGGCAAATTCCCTTCATTATTACTCTCACTATGCTTCCTTACTTAAATATGTAAAAACCAGAGTAAACCAAAAAGCCTTCGCATTCATTTCATAGAAAAGGTTCTCAGAAATTTTAAGTAAAGTATGTGGATGGATAATAACTCATCCCAAGTTAATTTCCAACTTTCACATATCAGCCTCCATGCTCTTGTTTCTTTTGCTAAAACTATCTGGGGTCTGTCATGTCACAGCAGTGAAGCTAGATTTCAAGTTGTCAGGCCCATGGTCAAACCACGCTTATCATGTTTTGGTCCAGAAAAATAGAGTCCTAAAGGCATGAAAAACAGCATAAATTACATTAATTCATATGGAAAATAATATGGGGAGAGGGCAGAGTAGACAACAGAGACCCAAAGAAAGTGCCCACATCCCTTCAACTGCTAGCTTGAACATCTTTTTGCCAAAGCTGCTGAATAGAAATTATGTGATGATAGGAGTTATTTCCCCACCTTTTTTATTCTCTAAAGTAGTGCTAATGATTGGCAGAAAGCCTAATGGCAGATAGGCAATCTGAGATCTGTCCGGTTCTTTCCTAATCAGGTATTACTTTCTTCTGGATACTTCTGGCATCCATTCTTCTTCTTAATCTCATTAAGTTTTGTTTCATAGTCATGGGTGTATCCCCAACTGCTGTGTCCTGTGGCTTTTCTGGTAATTTAAAAGAGTTCAAAAGCACTCACAGCTGGTCGACTAGGTCGGGTAATGTCCCTGGATTCTTCTGGCTTCACCTTGGAAGGCTCATGGGGGAGCACAGGTGATCCTTCCGACTTACTGTTGGCTGGGCAGAAAGACAGGGATCAAGAAAAATAATGACCATCAAAAGTGTTGACTCAAGTTCTAGAGTTCTGGGGTGAGTCATCCTTCGGGATTACTCGGGATACATCATTCATTTAGGCAAATCCTCAAACACATCCATGAAAAAATTGTTAGTATTCAGGCAAACGCACTTAGGCTTGTTAACCTGAAGTCACTAATAATAGTGAGAAAAACTAGCACGTACCAGCACCACCACCATTTACTGAGTGCTAAATGTGTGTCAGGCTTAATGCTAAAAGCCTTCTATGTCAACTGTCTCATCGAATTCTTGCTGCAACCCAATGTATGGCCCTCTTTTCCCATTTCACTGTTCAAAACAGACTTAGAGAGATGGCATACTAGCCTAAGGTCATGCTGAAATTATGGGCAGAGTTGGTATTCTGTCTGGCTTACCCAAGTCCTATTCTCGGTAGTACACTAGACCAGCTTCTGTGTTAGCATTCTACGGTTGGTTTCTTCTTGTACCACTTACCCGTCACAGTAGGTTATTTTGAGGGAGTGTTGTGGGAAAAAATAGAAACCCATTTTATGTGATGAAATGGTTTTTAAATGGGGGGCAGGGGTTGTCTGGGTCCTTTAAGGAAGAAAGAATGAGGTGGGGACAGGAAGGAGAGTATTGGTGACAAAGGGGAAGAGCCCCAGAATGGAGGATGGGGGAGGTCCACCAACAGCTACGGAGTGAAGAGTATCTCTCAGATTTGTTTCTAGGTACAGAAAAAACAATCTGGCATCAGAGAGATTCTTTTACTGTAAAGTGGTCTTTCATGGGCAGAAACACATCAGGGATACAACAGTGTTTTTAACCCAGAGGAACTAGGGGCCAAAGGAAAGAAGATAAGAATTAAACCCAAACCGGATCAGAGAATTACAATGATACGCATAACTTTAGTTTTCTTTAGTTTTCTCTAAGGATATTAAGATGCTTGTGAATAGAAAAAAGATAAATGAATGGCACTTTTCTCAATTAAGTAAATTTATATTTGAAGTAAAGCAACAGAAGTACACATAGCTATGTGCTGCACCACTGAGGTCTGAAGAATGCATATGGAGGCAGCCATATCCCGGTCCAGAGAAATGAGCACTGCACGCCAGATTTCAACCTTTCCAAAATGGAAATACAGTGACTCTACTTATTTAAAACCTTAAAAAGCTAATACGTGGCAACCTATGATTGTGGCGAATGAAGAGGCTAAGAAAAAGGGCTGGTGGTTTTTCTCAGAGCACAGTAATTTGTTAATATTTATCAAATTGCACTTAAAAAAGTTCTGGTGTTTATTACTTGGAAGCAAAATTATCTTCTGAAGGTTATTCAGAAAGAGTAAATTTTGATTAGCTAGAAGCAATGTGTTGTCATGTGTAATTAGCTGGACATGCTAATGTTTTTCACAAGCTTCCTCATTAATGAAAACTAAACAGTGATAAATGACTTGAATAAATGGTCAGAGAGGCTCATTTTTTATCCCTCTTTGGTAGGAATAACTAGAAGAGTGAAATATACTTTCTAAGTCAAAGAGTTTATTTTTTCTTTAAAATGTGTATGTGTTCTACGTTAGTCTTTACCGAATCCCACTTTGAGAGATCCTTAGTATCGTGAAATATATTCACACACAAAGGGAAGACTGGCATAATGGGAAGAGGATACTTGGGGGTACATGAAACTCTAAACAGACAACAAATGGAAATGGGAATTCAGGTGACTCAAAAGTAATTATATTTTCAAATAAGACCAATAGTCTATGATCATCCCAGAAAACAACGTGATCTGCAATTAGAAAAGATTTACTTCACACTGTGACGTCACACATGTATATGACTGGGGATGGCGGTTCACTCATGTAAGGAGACTGAGGCTCCGGGAAGTCAGGACTCTGTGGCATCACACAGCGGTGGCCATGCCAGGAGCAGGAATCACAAAAGTCAGGAAGTAAATGGATTCCATGCCCCCCCGGCTCTCTCCTCCAGGCAATGTTGTTGGGAAAGGTGGGGGAAGGTTTACCTCGAACTCTGGTTCGCTCGCTGGACCCCGCTTGTGATCCAGGCTGAGAGCCTCCTTGGGAGCTGGGCTGGGAGCTGGGGGTGCTGGAGCTGGAGGAACTGCCGCTGCTGGTCCTCTGCAAGGGGCTCTCCAAGACAGGCTCCGTTCTCCGGAGGTCAGGATTGCTGTGTGGAAGGCAGAACACGGTGACTACACCCTGGACACCTTGCCATCCACAGACACAGTACAGTCCAGTCCCACCCCCGGTGCAAAGGAGCAAAGAGAGCACATGTGTGACACTGCACAGAAGGGGTCAATGGAAATGACAGTCATGTCGTCCTCTGTGGAGCTCCCAGCCAGATACTGCTGGATGAGATGAACTCTTGACCCAGCTCCTGGATCATTACACTAAAGTATTAGCTCTGAAATGGTGCTCGTCAAAGGAGGCTTTCTTTGAAACCCTTATTCCTGTGTTCATTGTAAAAAAAACAAAAAAACAAAAAAACAAAAAACCTTGAAAAATATTAAAAGATAAAAGAAGGAAGCAACACATTCAATCTCTGACCCAAGAGACATCCAACTACATTTTACTATTTGGTAGAGTATCTTCTAGACTTTTGTATATACAGAAGCATGCTGTATGTTTGGTTTTGCAGCTTTTTTCCACCCTCCCTTAGCACTGCTTTGGGAGCAGCTTCTTATGCTTACAAAAATAATAATGGCTGCATAATAATCCAGTATATGGAAGAATTAGTTTAACTATTCCTCTACTGCTGGATATTAAGCTACTTCCAATACATTGCCGTGACACACGACATTGAAATAAGTATCTCCAGGCACCTGCACATCCCAGTCACATCTCTTTCCTGGAACTGGGATTGTTGGGTGGAAGGATATGAACAGGGATGAGTGTGTTGCATATGAGTTTGTATGTGGGTGTGTAATGTTATTACTGGTTTTTGCTGAAGTGTATGAAACGGACCATCTTACTGAATTCTTACCACGCTTTAGGATGAGCAGTTTGCTACTTTGTAAAAAAAAAAAATCTATCTTGTTGTTGTAATGTTGTTTTAAAACATTACTCTTGAGGTAGAATAATTCTTATTCACATTCATTTGACATTTATAATTCTTCTGTGAATTGCTTAATCAAGTTCTCTGCTTACGTAGTTAGTGGTATATTTGCATTTTAAATTTCTTTCAGGAAGTCTTTATATACTTTGGCTATTATCAAAAGGAGGTGCGTTTTAAAATAATTATTGGGCGCTAATTCAAGAATAAATACTTTCATAAAATCTTATTATTATTCACCTTTATATGTAAACTGCCCCCAAAATAGTGGTATTTATTTGCTCACTCAGTTGGTCTATACCAAGCACTGGGTCAGGCATTTGAGATATGGTAATGAACAAGACACAGTCTTGTCATCTGCCGGTTTAGCCGGACGCACACAGCCAATTTCCCCCATGCTTCGCCTGCAGTGAGCACAGGGCAGCATGGGAGCATGGACAGAGCCACGTAAGCCACTTTTGGTGATCATAGAAGCTGTCCTAAGAGAGTGGTGGGAAACAGCTGCTGAGGTTTCTATGATTTTGTTATAAAAATAAGCAGCATCCTCAAAGTTTCCACAAAGCTCTTCCTTTTTAAATTATACCTTAGAGGCCTTTTCATTTATATAATTCTGGGCCTAAATTAGTGCATGGATAATTTAGTGAAACCAGCAACTCAAAGCTCAAATCCACTGCCATCCACCTGCCGAGGGCCCCTACATGTTTCCAATGTCTTCCGTTCTCCAAACAGAACTGCACACCTCAGTGTGATCACAGACTATGATTTTAATGCAATAATTCATGTTAAAATGCAATTTTAAGTCTTCATTTTGCTCCCCTCATTTCAAGACTGTCAAGTGCACACTAAACTGTGTGGGGTGTCCCATGTTTCATGTATAAAAATGGAAATAATATGGTCTCTTCCCTTGAGACGCTTGCATTTTAGTGTACCAAAAATCTGGCCACAGAATGACATCATTATAGCAGCAACTGGACCAAATAATTTCTGTTTTGAAAACTTAAGAACTTTGTTTTTGGTGATGTATCTTCCAAAAACATTTGATCAAGTGAGAAAATGTTTTAAATATTGGGTTATTGTAAGACATGGCTGGTGGCTCTGGAAAACATATGTGAAAATAAATATGTCCTCATAACTTAGTAATTTTTATCACATAAATATAGAATTTATGACAATATTTATCTTAAGGTTTTATGGTAAAGGAGTTGCTAAGTCAACCCAACAGTATGATCGACTGAAGCAGAAGTGATTATCAAGTTTAAGGAAAATGTTTAAATTCTCAATATTTTTATAGGACTCCTTTGCATAGTAATTATTTTTGTGAAAACTGCTAGCTCTTAATTGGCTAAAATAGATTTGGATCCATACTGGAACTAGCCCTGATTTGGAGAATACCTAAAATGATAAATGTATAATACTTATGCAGTATCCTACCTTTTGAATTTTCCTTAAAGAAACAATCTTATCTCCTTTTATTCCCAATAATAAATTATTTCCCCTGGTCTTGTTTGATTACACAGTGATGGTCAGGAATTATTTATACATAATTAATAAAGTCCAAAGTTTTTTTTTTTTCTTTTTTCTAAAAATTGCATTGCTAGCCAACTGTATCACTGATTAAAGGTAATGGACATGCTAAGGCTTCTTGGTAGTTGCTTTCGTTTTGTAGAATGGTAATGTAGTGTTCTTTGTATTTAAAAATAAAAACAGTTATTGTGAGAAGGGTAGCTGTGAGCTCTGAGATATTTTTCTCTGGTGACTGTGGTGTGGTAGCAGGATCCGGCTACTTGCTTGAACACAGCACTCCTTTGGTAATTTAACCAATACCTTTCTGTGAAACAGCTGCTTTGTGAGATTGGTTGGACCAGTATGAGGGATGGAGGACAGCACAGGTCACAGGTGTGAGATGCAGCAGAATTCTAGACGTGAGAAACAGGCAGCGGAGACAACAGTGAAGAAGGCAAATCTCTGCATGCTATGCGTGAAAGAGCCCGTAAGTATTGTCGGAGTTTGGGGAACGATGAATGCAGCCTGGGGTCGTTGAGGTGGTGTCAAGAAGGAGACAGGACTTGACTGGGACTTTGAGGAATAAGCAGGAAGTCTGGGGGAGCGCCTGAGTGAAGATGCAGGGGCTGTGATTTTTCTGGGGCTAGCTGGTGTAGAGAGGACACCCACCCTGATGGAGTACTAAGTCTGTGTTAGGATAGCCTGGAAGAGTGGGTCATCAGAAGAAATGGATGCTTTATGCAGCAGTGCCTGTAAAGCTTGGTAGAGCACACAGGTCTCCCCCTGTGTGCAGGCTTATGGATGACTGGGGAGGAGACATGCAGGCTGACCAGGTGGGAGGCTGCTGCCATATTGATGATATAAGGCCTGGGCCCAGGCTGTCAGAGAGGGGCCTGGTCATTGGCAGAAGCAGCTGGCAAGTGCATGTGTCTCGGATGGAGCTCAGAGCCTCTTTTGGCATGAAATTAATTGAATCCCATGGGTATTAAATCCGTGACCTGGGCCTCATTAGCACAGGCCCTTCTTACTGGAGCGAACCAGCATGGGTGCTGATCTTAATAGGTTGCTATTTTTGCTGCTGGAGACTGAAAGAAGTATTTAGTGTCTATACAAACACACATAGAAATAGGGGAAACTTCAAAATGCTTTTTCTATGTTATTTTTTTTTTTTTGGAAAATATAAGTATTTAAAAAAATTTTATTAAAAAAATTTTAAAAACATTCTAATTTATTTTTGAGAGAGAGAGAGAGACAGAGGAGGGGCAGAGGGAGAGGAGGAGGGAGAATCTCAAGCAAGCTCCGCACTGTGAGCACAGAGCCTGATGAGGGGCTCAAACTCATGAACTGTGAGATCATGACCTGAGCTGAAATTCAAGAGTCGGACACATAACCAACTGAGCCACCCAGGCGCCCCAGAAAATATAAGTATTTTGATAAAATGTCATACCATTCATATTTTTCTTTTCCTTATTGTATAGTAATCTGGTCTGGCCTTGGGGCCAAGAAGTCTGAGATAAATGCCTTTAGAGGGAATTTCAGAAGAATTCTATGAAATAATAGATCTCTCTTGTTCACATATCAACTGAAACTACTCAGATCCAAATGTGTAAAAACTTGAAAACATTCATATATACTTCTTCAAATGCTAACTTTTGGTTCAGACATTTGCCATCCCACAGACAATGCCACGGGCCTGTAAAACACACAGTAAAGTGAAGATGTGGCAATTATTTCATTTACTTGAATCATATAAAAAGTCAAAGCAGAAAATTAGGATTACAAAGTGATTTCTTGGCCCAAATACTTGGGCCAAGTCTGTAATTAACTGGCTGACTGCCAAAATTCACTTTACTTTGTTCTGTGATGACACAGCCAATGAGAACAAATGAGCCACAGGAAGAGAGGTTTGGGATGGGACAGAGAATTATTTTTTTAAATTAAGCATTTAGTCATTGGGTTTTGACTCGGTGCTTCTGGCTTACTTTAAATCTTTTCATATTCTGAATGTACTTGTTTGATAAAATTTTAATTTGCTTTAAAAGAACACATGAATCAAAGTTAAATATTAAGGTACCTGGAATTTTTTAAAACGGTATTTTAAAAAATGAACAAACCAAATCTTGATTTAAACTCAACTCATCACTCTGACACCATAAGGCATCTGGGAGCCCACACAGCAGGTAGGAACTGCACACAGATCTGCATATGCATGAGACAGGAGGGCAGGAACAGGTGTGTGGGGTTATGGTGATGGGGTGGAAACTGTCAAAAGCACCTAATGATATCAGTACCAGCTTGAGTAGGAAAGTTTGGGGGCTATAAATAGGTTCTATGGGACAACAACCACTAAAAGGTAGTCAATACCACAAGATGAGAATCAATAACCACAGGATTAAGAGGAGCTATTAACATTCTCACTCAATTACATGCTGGGAAAAATGGAGGCAAAATGGAGGCAAAATGAACAAATCAAGAACCCTCTTTCCTTTGGGAACACGATGCAGCAACACCAGCCGTGTTTATTGCAAAACAGGTAAGCATGGCATGGTACTTAAGAGTGTGGACTTTGGTGCCACAGAATGGTTGTGGACAATGGTTCAAATGGTGGCTCTATCACTTCATAATATTGTCACCTTAAACAATTTAGTTAACTTGTGTTTGTCTCAGTTTCCCTTCTATAAAATAGAGGTGATTATAGCCACTACCTCACAGAGTTGCTATATGGTTTAAAGTTTATTTATTTTGAGAGTGAGAGCATGCACACGCACGAGCAGGAGAGGGGCAGAGAGAGAGAGAGAGAGAGAGAGAGAGAGAGGGAGAGAGAAAATCCCAAGCCGGCTCCGTGCTGTCAGTGCACCAGATGCAGAGCTCGATCTCAGGAATGGCAAGATCATGACCTGAGCTGAAATCAAGAGGCAGACACTTAACCAACTGAGCCACCCAGGCGCCTGTTAAATGGTTTAAATTAGTTACTATTTGAGATGCACACTGAAGAGTGCCTCACAAATAAAGATGTTCCAGATGTGTTTCTTAAATAAAGAAATAAATAAAAAAACCCAAACCAATCGGAAGGCAGGGATGCAAGGGGGTTGCCCAGTAACACTTTCCTGACCAGCTAATGTCAGCACAGCTGTATTCCTTGACACACACAACGATTCTAAGACATGTTCTTTACAGGGCTCTTTTTGATTTGGTGTAGTGTGTGTAGATAGGGGAAGTGACATAATAGGGAGTTTTTTTTCTGGGAGAAGGAAGGCTTTTGAAAATAGTGAAGCTCTGCTTTTTCCTCACGTTGGAGGCATGCTTGCATCTCCCATTTTAACTCACCTCCAGAATCTTCCATTCAGGGTGCCAAGTAGCTTACTGACTTACACATACTGTTTCCTACATTCTCAGAAATTAGCATACATTCTGCAGTTACTGAATATACAATATCTTGCTTGGAGTTCATTAGTACTTAAATTCAGGAAGCAAAAACTGAGCTCTTTAACCATTAGGCTCTACTTTCTAGTCTTCCTTTTTCCTGCTGGCTTAGCACAAAAGTGGCTTATTTCTCACTCATATCACAATATATACAGATCAAACTGGTCTCCTTGGTGGTTCTTCCTCAGGTGGGGACTTGGGGACTCAGGTTCCTTCCATGTCCAGACATTATTGTCTTTTTCTTTTTTTTTTTTAATTTTTTTTTCAACATTTATTTATTTTTGGGACAGAGAGAGACAGAGCATGAACGGGGGAGGGGCAGAGAGAGAGGGAGACACAGAATCGGAAACAGGCTCCAGGCTCTGAGCCATCAGCCCAGAGCCTGACGCGGGGCTCGAACTCACGGACCGCAAGATCGTGACCTGGCTGAAGTCGGACGCTTAACCGACTGCGCCACCCAGGCGCCCCAGACATTATTGTCTTAAATTTGTGGTCCCTACATTTGCTACAAAAGAAGGGAGCCTCTGCCTTCTTCCTATAATTCACATATTTACCTCAAAGCAAAGGAAGAAAGCAAGGCAAGAAATAGAATTTTGCCCCTAATAATGCCTATAGCTCCAAAGGGTAGCAGGTATGGTATATCCTCTGACCCATGGGCCCTAGACTCAGGTGGTCTTGGTTGAGTCACTGACTCCCAAGGTCCCATGCAGCCCTGAACACAGCAGGTCCTCAGTATACATTTGCTGAATTTAGCAAATGAAAATAATAACAACAAAACATCGTGAATTTGTCCTTTATTAGATGTGTGATTTTTCTTGGGATCCATTCTTACTCTGTTAATTTCCTGCTTTCCCTTGAGGATCAATTTAAGGAGAAGGGCCGGGAGGATAAAAAGGAATACTGACCAACAACAAGAAGTATAGTTCATAAACATGGTAAAGGATGAATTCTTTAAAAGCAACCCTTTGTCATGGCTTCGTGGATGGCCAGTTGCCTGAAGAGTGGTACAAAAAGAACTATGAGAACTTCATTAAGACCAATATAAGATAGGAGAGTGTGTTTTACAGTAATGCCCCCAGCCAATCACATCTCCCATCGTCCGTGCCCTGTGTATTTTCTTTAGCGCACTGACTCAGGGCTTGCCCACATGACTTGTGGTTGCCAATGGGACATCAACAAAGATGACGCAAGCAAAGGCTTGAAAAGTGCTCCTGTACTGGGGCCCTCCCTCTCGGGAGGCTGTCCTGAGATTGCCAAACAGTAAAGAAGACCAGGATGAAGGTCCACATGAAGGTACAGCTGACCTATCAGCTCAGCGCAGCTGCATAAGTAGCCCAAGTGAGACCAGCCGAAAAACTTATTAGCCAACCCAGAGAATCACAAGAAATAATAAATTGTTCCTATTTCAGACAACTAACTTTTAGGATGTTTTCTTATGAAGCAAAGGCAACCGAAACCAATAAACCAAAATCCTGAAGTAATAAACAGTAAATAACCAAAGAGTAAATAAACCAAATCCTGAAGCTTTAAAAAATGCAATCCAATCTAGACTGGCAAAGTCTGATTCACATCTTAAGTGTTGGTCATTTGGTGATAGCAAGAAGTAGGGGGTCCGGGAGGATTACTCTAGTTGGCAGAGATGGGGATTCTCCACCCCCTCCCCCCCAGTGCCTGATTTTCATTGTAGGTAAATAATTATTACCTCTTAGCTCCCTCCCTCCCTTCTCTGTAAGCTGTCGCACAAAGTTTGCATTCTTTGGACAAAGTACAAATTTAAGTGGTTCCGAGGGAAAAGCTCATGTTTTACAAGCCACTGACCATCAAAAGCCAACTATCTTGGGCCCTAGTGTCATTAAAATAACACTTCAGAGGGAACAAAGAGCTGCTTTTTATTTGATTATATAATGATAGTTCTCTTTCTTTTTGGTTGATAGAAAGGAAAAAGATTTTAGTTGAAATGACGCTTGATCTACAGCCGCTAAAATTCTAAGCAACTGATCCCATGACCAGAGCCTTGAGGGCAGGGTCCAAGGGACCAAGAAGCACGGATAATTGGGGGCTTATTGCTGCTCGAAGAGGGGGACTGACAAAGTTCACGCCCGCAATCCCAGGGCTGATGCTCCTTTGGCTCCCGGTCACAGTACACTCTGGTCTTCCTCAGCGCTGCTTAGCAACGCCAGCTCAGGCTGGAGCTGACAAGTCACTGGGAAAAAAATGGCTCATTCAGAGCTTCCTGCTATTGGCAATCCCACTCAGAATGGGCTAACTTCTTCGCCCTGAAGGGATTACTGTTCTTAGTACAGTTCCATCTTATTTTTGGACTGACCTCTTTCTAAAGCTCTTCATGTGAAGAGGAATATTAAAGCTTCATGATCAAAAGCATTCCCTATATTACAGATACGTACAAATAATCATAACTTTCATTTCCAGTCTCTCGTTCTCACTAGCTAGGGAGAGTCCTTCTCTCGTGAACACAGTGAAGAAGAACATAACGGCCTGCCCAAGCTCATCCTTTTTATAGTCTCAGTAGAAACCATTTGCTATTTCAGTTGATCCTAAAAAGTGGTGTATTCATCATGAAAAATCTGAGGGAAGCTCGACAAACTGGAGAAGCAAACGGCATAGAATCAGCTCAGATACAGTACAGATATTGCTTCCTTTCCAGATTCTCTTGAGACCTCTACACCAACCGGTAGGTGAATGCAGTTTCCTCACTGTAGGAATATCCACTGTTGATGGAAAATTCTAGGAGAGCACAGAGTAGCGGTGGAAGCATAATTGTATCTCAGTGACCCTCCATAATGCCAAAGAGGTGATTTTTTGCTAAGAAATAGTTCTTTTGTAATTTGTCAAGCTAGGGAGCTCTGCAGCTGGCCACGAATACATTTCTTTGGCAATTACTTTGTAATGTCTTAATGGCTCCGAGGGTACATTTCTTGACCTGATGCTAAAAATCACCTCAAACCAGGCTGTCTTGTTCTGCTGACTTCATGAAATGGCCTCTTAAGTAATGGTTTGGGGTATTCCAACCAGACTTATATTTGCAATTTTACTCTCAAATTTTAAAAATGAGGTACACTTGGTTGGCTTCTGGGATGCCTCACTCACTCATTTATTCATGAGCCCTCACTCTGCACTGATTTCTGTGAAAGGTGACTGAAGAAATAAAAGGTGTATCTTCCGGCCCCACAGAAGCTTACCGTCCAAGTGCCCAGTCAACATGCGTCTGAAGTGAAACAAGGACAAAACCAATTTTTAGGAAAGCAATAATGACAGTGGCAGGTGGGGTTTTTTCCTCTACCTTAACCATCTTCCTTCCCTTACCTTGCTCTGATGGGTTGAGATCCCAGTCTGGGTCCCAGAGCACTACCATTTCCAGGAGAATTCTTTCTGGCTAATGCTGGGGATATAGAAGTTGTTCTTTGAGGCACCTGAAAGAAAACCGGAATTCAGAAATATTTTCCATAAAATAGCTCCCATAGGCTCCTACCTGAAAAGCAGCCTAACCCTTTTCTAAAATTTACCAGGAGTTACAGAAACAGGCAAGCAATAGTGTTCATTTTTCAAAGAAATATTTAACTCCCTAAACACAATCAGACAAAAGACACTGGCTGAGGCACATTCAGCCATCACAAAGGAGTACGGTAACTATAAAAACAAATTAAAAAGGAGACCAAGCTAATTATTTTGATTCACTGGGCTAAAATAACCGACCTCCTTTGCTTGTGTAAGAGTGGTGAATATCAGATATTTCTTTGGGGGTACCATCAACTCAGCTGATCATTGGAAATTTCATCAGATGAGAGTCATCCAGAGAAGCTGAGCTACGTCACAACTGATAAACAGGCAAGGAAATGATGACATCTGGGGAGAAACTAGGGTATCAGGCTAGAACTTGGGACATAAGCCACATGTTGCTGAGCTCAGAGAAACTACTTCAATAGATTCTATATGTTTCAATTTCCTAATCAACTTGCAATCACTAATTAGAAACAAACCCCTAGACACTGTGCTTTGGAAGGTCAATTTGCAAATGTAACACAAAACAGGATTAATATTGAAAATACTGGCAGGGTCTTCAAAAAGACTATGTGTGTATCATCAGACACAGAGTAGGAACATGTATCATTATTAGCTTATCTGACGAGGCCTAAGGTGGAATTTATGTATGTCTCATTTCATTAAACATTTTTAATGAAATCAAATATTGTAAGTGTACTAAAGGGGCCCAACATGAGGGAGGAGAATAATACTGTATGAAAGTGAGCAGGAAATGAAAATGTAGATATCCCGTGATAGCTAATTGGGTTAAACATTTGTCAGGTACTTCCGTTTCATTCACTTCTTGGGGCTCTTTTAAAGTGGGTTTGTGGTTTTTTTTTTTTTTTAATGTTTTTATTTATTTTCTAGAGACAGAAAGACAGAGTGTGAATGGGGGTAAGGCAGAGAGAGAGGGAGACACAGGACCCAAAGCAGGCTCCCGACTCCGAGCTGTCAGCACAGAGCCCGACACGGGGCTTGAACTCACGAACTGCAAGATCATGACCTGAGCCAATGTCGGGTGCCTAACCGACTGAGCCACCCAGGTGCCCCTAAAGTGATTTGTGTCTTGCACTAGATATTTTAAAAATGTGCTTTGTGGGGCGCCTGGGTGGCGCAGTCGGTTAAGCGTCCGACTTCAGCCAGGTCACGATCTCGCGGTCCGTGAGTTCGAGCCCCGCGTCGGGCTCTGGGCTGATGGCTCAGAGCCTGGAGCCTGTTTCCGATTCTGTGTCTCCCTCTCTCTCTGCCCCTCCCCCCTTCATGCTCTGTCTCTCTCTGTCCCAAAAAAAATAAATAAACGTTAAAAAAAAAATGTGCTTTGTTATAACATTATTGGTTAACACATTAAGTGATATTTAAGATTAATATAAATTTTGTTGGTTATTATGATGCATTTTAAGATAAAGACCAGGAAGATTAGTCAGTGAAGTGAAGCAGAATGGCCAAATCAGAGTTTCCACCCGCTCAAATTAAATATTCCTTTTTCTTTTTGTAAACTTAAATCATTGTAGAGAAGAAAGAATCTAACAAATTATTAAAACTAAAACCTTTGTATCGATGTAAAATGTTCTCCCAGAGTTATAAATGTATGCCTACATGCTTTCAGAGAGTGGACCACTCACTTCCATTTTCAGTTTTTCTGGCTCTCGTGACACTTCTCTGCCTGTTCTATTTTCCATATTGGACTTTGCTCCCTAACTAACCTTTTCTGATGGCATCTCGGCTTCCACAGAAAGAGAGCACCAACAAAAAAGCCATGATCAGCTATTTTCATTTCCAAAACAACGGAAATCCTGTTATAATATCCTTTTGAGTAGAAGATGAGGAAGCATATTTGAAGATCATTGGGTAAAAAGTATTATTTCTTCCTGGAATCAACAATGGCACTGATCTTTGGAAATTGTGGGACATTCCATTTGTCATAGATCCTATGCTAAGTTCAAAAGAAAGGGGAATCTTGGACCAGGAAAAATCTAATGCAAACATTTCTCCAGTATTTTGAAATATTTCCAAGATGTCTGTAGTGAGATACATGACCACATTACATAACAACTTTTGGAATGAGTAACAACTGGTTTAGGTAAAAACAAAAGAAACCAATCCCAGGGTTATTCTGTCCGGTGGATGGCTAGTCATTTCACCCTACAGTTTTATCCTCAGGAATTAAATTATGACCCGGGCTAGAAGGAACTTGCCTTAAACAGCCAATTTTAAGAGCAATACTATCTTCTGAACACCTGCAATCTGATTTCACTTTGTGTTCTTATTAAAAGTAGGAATAAATCAATTTTCTACTTTTTATCTGCAAGTTTTCAATTAGTCTAGATGTAGATTCAGTCACCAGTGAAGATATCCATTTTTCTATTTCTCCTTTTTAAAGAAAGCTATATACCCAATGTGGGACTTGAACTCATGACTCTGAGATTAAGGGTTGCCTGCTCTACTGATTGAGTCAACCAAGTGCCCTTATTATTCTATTTCTTAATATGGATAGTAAAATAATAGTTTGGAATGCTTGAGATTGAGAGTTCTAATTCTGGATACAGGATAGATGTTTCCAGGTCACTCAATCTATATGAGCCTCCATTTCTTGGGAAATGAAGGTCAGAAGTGATAAATGATAATCCAAGTCTTAGCTTGGGAATGAGGAGGGATGAAAACAGGCGTGGGCCGTGCTTTGACTTTCTCGTGCTCCTCATTACCATAAAAGGTCTGGAATAGAGGTAATAATACCAATAAAAAACAACGATGACCATGACAGTAATGATGATAAAAGCAGGCCACACTGTTACCTTTGGTGGAATGTCTTCTTCCTGTCGTAACCAAGAGCTTCGGTCAAACTTCTCAATGCGGGTGGGGAGAGGAGGGTTTTCAGAGGTGGGATCCGAGTTCTGGCGTGGCATCTCAACACGGTGAGAGGTCACGTTCAGAGCCTCCTGAAACCCAGAGAGGCCCTTCGTGGGCTGCTCATGCACCGACTGGGAGGCGGTCAAGGCAGGTCCCTGGGATTTCACAGCTACAAGATGAGGAATCTAAGCATCGAACCAACATTAGAGCAACAGGATTAGAAGAAAGAGTAGATCAGCTAGTACCTCATTCAGTGGAAGGGAAAATCAAATCTTAGGGAGGACAGACAAAGAGGCCATCATAGTTATCTCCAGCATACTTTCAGAAGCTTTTCCAAATTTCCCATTTACAGACATATGTAGGGCTGAACCAGGGTGCTTGGCAAAAATTAAGTGATTTACTCGGGATTGCTAAGAAGTCAGTGAAATGAGTGTGGTGACAATGAGAGCAATTTTCAGTGAACATTTACTGACCAGCAAGATAACGTATTTAAATATTTTTTTTCTAACATGATAAACTTCCTCCTTCAACACCCTTAACCTGACATTAGAGAGTACTCTGTAAAACAAGAAATGCTCTGAATATCTTACTTCTTAAGAACTCACTAAATTCACCATGAGGTAGACACAATTATGTCATCATTTTACACATGTGAATGGAAGGTCTAGAGAGGTTAGATAACAACCTAGATCTCACAGCTTATAGGTGCTGGAGCCTGGATTGGAACTCACACATACCTCATGGTCCACACACCTAACTCTGCATTATTCTGTTTTCCGGTAAGCTGGTTCTTACCACCCACAATACTATGTATCTCTCCACACCAAGATGTTTTTTTTCCGAGTTGTAAGTCACACAATTTGGCATGCATTGATATTGTTCATGCAGGGAAGACATGCCATCTTCTGGTAGAAATGTGGCTCTTTAAGACAAATCATTAAACTCAAGAGTTCACAGTGCTCTTGACCATTAGAACTGCTCACATTTTATTGCTACTGCTTCTGTAAGCCTGTCTACTTCTCCACCACAAAGGTAAATTACCTGGGGATGGGAGCCATGTCCAACATGGTATCTCTGAGTCTAGCACTTTGCCTGGCATGTGGAATGTGGTCAATAAATCTTGGCTGGGAAAACACCTACAGTACTTCCTAAATTCAATAAACACTAATCTAATATCTGATTTGTGCAAGGGGCCTATCAGGCCCTCTCAGTGCCAGACCCCTGGGGGGCATTTCCACAGTCCTCTTCCATTAGCCTAGCCCCATTCCTTTTGCCCTTGAGGTCTTACCCCTGGAGCAGCCTTGCCCTAGCCTCTTCAGACCATCTTTGGTCTGAAATCTGAAATATTATTAATTATAGTTCAGTGAAAATTCTCAAAGTCTAGTTCAGGTGAATGTTATGCTTCAACCAGAATAGAACTGTAACCAAATTTTTCTTAATGTTAATTAGCATGAAATATAATAAACAAAAATATTAAAACAAAGCATATTTTACAAATAGAGCACAAAACCACAAACCTACTTCAAAAGAGTTTTCAAAGACGTGTGGGTGAAACCAGCTGCATTATCACCTTTGTTTTTCATAAAATTCCATTCTTTACTTCACTTCCTATTTCATTTTCAGTATTTAAAATTTAAGAAGCCTCCTAAAACCTCCAGAAACATCTCCCGAAGTGGAGTACCTTTTTTTCTTTTTTAAATAGCTTACAACAGTGGCTCTCGAGTCCTAGACTGCATAGGAGCACCCTGGGGGCTTGTTAAACCACAGACTACCAGGCCCCCACAGAAGGTTGGAGCAGCAGGTCTGAGGCGGACCCAGGAAACTGCATTTCTACCAACTTCTTGGGTGACGCTGATGCTAATGGTCCGGTTTCCCTTTGGGAAACACTGGCTTGGAAGACACAATTTTATCCAAGTTCATTTACTTTTTCTGGTTAAAGATCATACCAAAATCCCAATGAACAAAAGATAATATAATAGTTTATATATAACATATATATATATATATTTTTTTTGTGTGTGTGTGTGTGTGTGTATACATATACATATATACACGACTATTAGCTTGGTAATTATAACTACAAGTATGCTTGTTCCTACCTTGCAGACACTCCCATAGGTCTCCAGTGAGGCCAATTTACCAAGAAATGACTTTGTGGTTGGCTCAAAGTTAAGGATGGGTTTTTTTTTTCTTTCTCACCCCTTCCCCGTCCCTCGAATCCAGTGGGGTCTCCTCTATTTCTATAGATTCTGTATTAAGGGCCATTGTTTGACTGGTCCGATGTGTGAATCCAAGTTACAATCCCCTGTTGTTTTCGTAGGCTTAACTGTACACCCTATTGAAATGGCTAATGGAACAAAGGGGAGAGGTACCTGGGGATCGACTGGTCTGAGCATGGGAGGTGTCCGAGCAGGCTGAACCCCACTGATACTGAAGGACTCCGACCTTGGAGGCAGGTTGGGGTCAGATATTCTGTTGGCAACCTTGTGAGGCATGGCAGGTGAACTCTGCCGGTTGAGCCTTGACCGCTCTTCTACCTGGAAGCAAAAAACAAAACAAAACAAAACAAAGAAAAACAAAACAAACAAGAAAAAAAAGGTGCTTCAATGGATAAATGGATAGAAACTGATTTGCTTCCTAATAAGGATTATCTGTAGTCACCTGCACAGCCATTTTTGTGTCCCTCTGGTCAATTTGTTTTAAGGAACCCAAACTCTTCATACCTGTTCTGCATCAAGAACTTCTAAAAAAAGCTATTTTCTGTCACAGTAAACCCTAGCCCCCAAAACACAGAACACATAAGCCATCTGGTACCCAGTTATCTTGTGCTGTTTCAGTGAACTGGGAATTTGGGACCCACTTAAGAGTTTATCTTGCACTGACTGGATATTGTCTTACCGACTGGTCGGTTGCAAAGCCATGGCGTCAGTGAGGGAGACACTGGTGGGCATTAAGATTGCTTGGGAACAGGGGTGCGTGGGTGGCTCAGTCATTTGAGTTTCGGACTTTGGCCTCACGGTTTGTGAGTTCGAGGCCAGCATCAGCATTGAACCCTGTGCTGACAGCTCAGAGCCTGGAGCCTGCTTCAGATTCTGTCTCCCTCTCTTTCTGCCCCTCCCCCACTCACACTCTGTCTCTCTCTCTCTCTCTCTCTCTCTCTCTAAAAAACAATAAACATAAAAAAAAAAAAGATTGCTTGGGAACAGCAGAAAACTGCTTTCTCATGGGACAGGAAGGGAAGACCACTAATGGTGTGTTTCCTCACATGCCCTACTGATAAAGCAAGGGAGTGTTTCAAGCGCTCCCTTAATGAGCTGGACTGTCTTCAGCAGACTTCCTGTATTGTTTCTGTCTTTTAGGATCCTTCCCTTTCACTTGTCTCCCTGCTCCCTAAAATATGTCGTTCCATTTCCACCCAGAACTTCACTGCCTTACTCTCCACCCTCCTCCCTGTTTGTCCACGTGTGGCATTCATTCTTGCTTCTCCCCTTCTTCTCTCCCCGCCTCCAACCCTTTTGCTTCTGTGGCCGCTTCATTTCCCTTTCTTGCTGAGTCTCTCCCAACCCAAAGCAGATAACTAATCAGAAGTGTTTCATAGGAAAGGCTCACAGTCCCAGGGAATGCCCTTTTTACAGGTAAGATTCCCCTCGGTACATGTCTGCAGCAGACTGTCACAGAGGATATTTCCGAATGGAAATTTAGATAAACAAGATGTCGAGGCAGCTGGTGGCTCAGTTGGTTAAGTGTCTGATTCTTGGTTTCAGCGCAGCTCACGATCTCACAGTTTCATGAGTTCGTGTGGGGCTCTGCGCTGACAGCACAGAGCCTGCTTGGGAGTCTCATTCTCTCCCTCTTTCTCTGTCCTTCCTCCGCTTGTTGCTGTCTCTGTCTCCCTCAAAATAAACAATCTTAAAAACAAAAAAGATAAACAAGATGTTAAGAACTTTGACGACTTTAAGAGGTTCAGGACTTTTCTTTCTGATCCATCCTATCCTGTCCTTTATTTCTTTAGGGTCAATTTGACAGCTGTATTTTCCAAACCTCCGGGGCAGTGCACCCACCCTGATGACTCTTCAGTGTGAGCATTAACTCTCTTCTGCTGACTCACTGATGAGTGTTCCAAGTGTCTGTCACAGAACCCACATGCAGGTCAAGATATATTTGCATGGAGCTCTTTATTCATTTCACTGCCTGATTTGAAATTAAAATTTTTTTCACAAGAGCTATTCTTCCCCTTCCTTCTTATTTCATTAGGAATCTTTCTAGAGGCAGACTCAGTCTCATATACTGAATAAGTCTTTTTTTTTTTTAAACTGTCATATAATTGCAAAGATTTTAACATAAGAAGATATGCTGCAGAACAGAAGACCATCCCCCACCTCTACTTAGGGATAACTTAACATGTCCTCTCCCACCATGGCTGTGCAGGGTACATACAACTGGCATCCAGCTGACTTTGCTTTTGCAATTCCATGTCCCAAGAGCTTTACCACATACCAAACAATGTTAGCTATAAAAAGCCAGACGTATAAACCAGAACATGTATACCTTGTGTATGCGTGCATACAAAGCATTGCACCAGCAATAATTATTTGGCTATTGCACTGAGCAAAAGAAAAGAATAAAGCCAGTTTTGAGCTGAGGTCATAAAGAAGACAAAGTCCCATGAAGACAGTGGTAGATAAACTAAGAGGAAAGCATTCAATGTATTGCTTTTACTAGACTCCTTGAAAAAGAAAGTGACTATTCCAGGCCACTGAAATTGGTCAAATATTAGCCATCTTCTTATTTCCACGGAAGATCATTAACAGATAAATCACGTGTACAAGCATCCCTCACCGTCCAAACTCCCCCAGTCTAAGCAGGTCATTGCAGTCTGAGCTCAGGAACCCAAGAGATACAGATGCATTTTCAGAGAAATACCTGGCTATCCAATCGATAGCCACCTGTTACCCAACAGTCAGGAACCAAATATATTCAGAGAGTGGGGAATACTTGCCATTATTTTTATTTTTTAACTGTAAAATACACTCCTTATTAAACACACACTTAGAGACAGCACATTAAAAACAGCAATTGAAAAAGTCTGCCTTGAGGGGATGGAGATGAAAAAGACTCCATCTTGAGCAAAGAAACCGTTTTTGAGATAAAGAATTTTTTTGGCCAACAGCCCGCAGCAAGCTTCCAGTAAAGGAGGTATTCTCACCACAGGCCATATGGGCCATAGAGCTGCCATGGGAAATGAACAGGGCAGAAAGTGAGGTGCTGATTTTCATAGGAAGTTAATGGGTTTGATTGGTCGTGTATAAATATTACTAATGTACTTCTAGCAAAATCTGGTTTACACACTAAATCCTACCATTTGTATGTGTCAGGTTGTACCATTCTAGAATATATGGCATAATTAATTTATGGTTATATTTTGCAAATTATTTCAGGATGATTCAAAATCTCGTGAAATTTCTTGGGTTGGAACTTGTCCAACGAAATCTGAAACTCTATGAGAAAGGTGCAACAATGAGCCATCTGGCTATATACTTTGTCTCAAGAGAACCTTGTCCCAAAGTTTTTAGGAAGATGATGTTGCCCACTGCTTTTGCACCAAAGGAACAACATGAATATTGGAGCAAAGACATCAAATCAAACATCCTAATATCAGACAAAGGAGAAGTTGGGTAGTGTACTTGGGTGCAGGCCCTTCCTGATCATTTTGATACTGGGCAAAGGGCTGTCTCCTGATTCACTACATCTTACTTTCACTAATCGAAAAGGAGATAGATATGTGAGGGAGACAAATAAAGCAGGTGTTTTTTTTCCACACAGAATAAGGATATTTGTGATTAAACAATGGGGTACAATGGAGATATATTTCGATCTGCCTTGCATGATATCAAAAGTCTATTACCTGAGCCTCTGCTCCAAGGAGATGTAAAATGTCAGAAGTGCCACCAAAAAAGAATGCTCTGGTAGCAACAGATATAGAAGGTCAAGGTGCCGGACCATGACAACAAAAGATATGTTACAAAGGATTTCATACTTGTAGGGATTATCAATGAATATAGAAAACAAGATTAGGAGAGGCTGATCAGTTTTAGGATAAACACGATTTGTTTCTTATTAAAAGGACTGTTTGAACATCAAAACGAAATTTGGGGAGGTTCAGATCGTCTCTGCAGAGATGCTGTACTATACTGGATTAAGCGCCCAGCTCAGGTCAGGATCTCACAGTTCATGAGTTTGAGCCCCGAGTCGAGCTCCACGGTGACAGTGTGGAGCCTGCTTGAGATCCTCTCCCTCCCTCACTCCCTCTCTCTCTGCTGCTCCCCTGCTTGTGCTCTCTCTCTCTCTGAAAATAAATAAACTTAAATAAAAGAGAAATGCTATGCTATGTTTTATAGCATTATAGGGAGAAATAAAACCATAATTATAGTCTCAGAAATAAAACTCTGCTCGAGGCAGCACTGTGTTGTCCACTGGGTTCAACGGGAGTGATGTCTAAGGCCTCTGGGATGCATGAAAGCTATATGAACACAGAAGACCTGAAAATAAATTTGTTGATTGTAGGATTTCAAAAAATTTCTCAAAATAAATAAAAATATGTTTAAGCACGCATAAAAGGAAATATATCGATGTCAATTGTTGAAGCGTTTTGTACGTTGACAACAATTCATAGCTTACAGCGTCTCACTTAGCAAAAATGAATGATACCTGCCGAGAGAAAAATTTCAAAACAAAATTGTAGAAGTAATCTTTTAGATGTTGACAGCAAAAATATATTTACTATGTCACATGGGTGCATTTTTATAATATTTTATACGATGCAGCTTCTGTGGGGTCTACGGAGGCCTGGAAGGCCTTACTTAGAAGCTTATACATGGTGAATTGAATATAATCATACAGGAATTCCTTTTTTTCAAACTGAACAAAACAGTTTGCTGTTTTTGTCTTCACTGGAAATGTTGGAGAAAGAGAAAGAAGTCAACAAATAACTTTTAAGTTTAGATACCCCGGCCCTGCATTCACTGGTCCCATAAAGAGTTGAGTCACATTGTCCTTTGGCAAAAACCACAGGAGCAAGATGGTTACTGAGCGAGACTGGGGATAGCCCTTCTCTGAGGCCCCTCTGAGGATAGGGGAGACTCTCATTCATATGAAATGTTTAAAATGCGGTCTCATCTGAAGACAAGAGCCGGGACTACTCTTCCACTATCTACTCTTAACCAGTGACTCCAAAGAAAAGTATAGGTCTTCATGGGGATGGGGATGGAGCGTTTAACTTAAAAATAACAAGGCAAATATTATAAGCTGAGACGGAATGAAGAAGTGTGCATGTATCACTGGGGAGAGGGAGGGTGGAGGAGATGGGGACGCATGTGGGCTGCCCGTGTGAAGTACACACCGGAAACAAGAGGCAAACACTTACTCCTTGTGGGTGACAGTGACCTTGGAAACAAAGTATGACTGTGTTGAATGCTATCTTTCATTTGCATCTGCATAGTGCTTATGGTTTCAATGGCACATTCATACACACAATGGCCCAGGGGCCTTCCCGAAGGCAGGAAGTGCAGATGGGGAAATTGCACCCCAGGAAAGCTCCAAGGCTTGTTCCATGTCACCCAGCCAGGAGGTGGAAGAACTTGAACTTGACCTCCTTATGCCAAATCTTAAGAGAGAGAAGCAGAAACTGAGGCAAGAAGGGAGCAGAGCTATAAACTCTCTAAATGGTCATTTGAAACCTCATATATAAAATAACATACAAAAAGGAAAAAAAGAAAACCCACATCACTATTGAGTAGGGAAAACCAAGTAGAGGAGTTCTCATATAGAGGATTTCAGAGTCCAATGGGCCGATGAAATATAAAGGCATATCTTGGTCCATTGTTTGCCAAATAAAACCATGGCCAGATGACTGGAATGCATCAGAGTAAGAACATGATGGAGTATTGAAAAAAATTAAATACAATTTCATACAGCATTCATGTAGAGACAGCATTCTGTCACTTTTGTGTGTTGATGAAAATTTGAAGAAAAAGTTGGGGAGGGGCACACACAGTTACTGCCAGGCCCAATCACATGCCAGTTTAAGGAAAGGAATCTGCTCCATTGTTTAAAAAAAAAAAAGGTATTATAAGAAAATAAATCCTATCTTTCAAAAAGTGGAAATGAGAAAGAAAAAGACCTTCAAATTTTGCTGACATTTAACAGAATATCATACTGATGTTTTTACAGAACAAATCTGATTTCCATCCCAATCCAGAAATGGCAGAGAATTTGAAAGGAGTAAAAATGTCCTCACCCTTCCTTTCAGTAGAGACATAAGTGTTCCTCCCTGGCTGAAATCTGAAAATCACAGTCAATGTAACAATCAGAACAATGTAACAATCAGGAGAGAGGGAAGGGGCATCTGGGTGGTTCAGTCGGTTAAATGTCCGACTTTGGCTCAGGTCATAATCTCACGGTCTGTGAGTTCGAGCCCCGCATCAGGTTCTGTGCTGACAGCTCAGAGCCTGGAGCCTGCTTCGAATTTTTTGTCTCCCTCTCTCTCTCTCTCTCTCTCTCTCTCTGCCCTTCCCCTGCTCACACTCTATCTCTCTCTCTCAAAAATAAGTAAACATTAAAAAAAATTTAAGGAGAGAGGGAAGAGCTCAACAAGATTTGCAAATGATCGGGTATTTTTATTTTTCTTATTACACCCAACAGATTAATGAGAAGGCTAATGAGAAATGCAATGATGACTTACGTTTTACAAAATGAAACAAAAAAATCACAGAGGGTGAGGCATTATAACATTACACTAGCTAATGAAAAACTGTTGATTTGAAAAAAGGAAGAGAAAGAAGGGATGAAAAAGTACCCAAAGAAGGAAAAACCATTCTGGTGAGGAGGTATAGACATGGGTTAGAAAAAAAGCACTGGCATAAGTTACAGAGGCTGCCAGGGGAGAAGACAGCTGGGGGTGTCTTCAAGGGCACAGGGGCAAAAAAGGCCTAGACCCTGCATCACAGGGGACCGTGGCAAGGATAATTCCAATTTTATACCCTGGTAGAGGATGCATTAGAAAAAGAAAGGGTGCCTTTTATTCTAACTGCAAAGGAGAGTTTAACCTAGGTTATTTTTCTTGGTTGATAATTAAGATACTGCTAGGCTAGAAATTCCATCCATATCCAAAATTTTGAAAATATTTTACTGTTCAGCTCCTTTCAGCCCCATCTACATCACTACTATAAGGACAAAAGTCTTTAAATAATGCTCTAGAAGAGAAGTTCATGCATTGCTACGAGAAGCATTAAAAGGTCAGGAAGATAAGGATCCTCATACCCGTTTTTATTCCCATTTTAAGAAGTGGGTGTTAAGAAAATGATGAAACAAACCAAAGCACACAATTATTTGTTCTTATTTGTATACTAGTTGCTCCAATCCCAAATTTAGCACTGTCATTTATTCAGTGATCTAAATGTTTCATCTTCTTCTAAAATGTGAACACCCACTCTAAGACTTGGGAATTGTTTCATGGAATAGATTGGTTAGTTGGAAGCTGGATTATGTTAACCACACCCAGAAGTACTGGACTAAATATGAGCCCCAGAAGCATGTTCCCACATATGTCTAGAACTGCATGAAGCCCAAAGAAGAGCGCCAGCTGCCTGGAAACCAGGGACCTTGGAAGATGTCACCCACCAGAAGTGGCTCAGATTTATGACGGCCAGGGAACCTCACGTCGGGAGTGCTTGCCGACATAGCCGGGTTGTTTGCATGCCCAACTACTGTGTTTCTTTCACTGCTAGAAGCCTGGCTAGGAAGCACAAGGGAATTAGGAGGTCTAGAAAACCACCTTGATGACATCTGCAAAGATTGGCGCCCAGGAGTGTCATGGCTTCTGAAAGCTCGGGAGCTGTGAACTAGTTCTGAACAGAGAGGATAGGCCAGGAAACTCAGTGAGGAAGACAAAGAATAACTAGATAACAATGAGGTCAAAGCAGTTAAGTTCACATCGGAACGTGCTGGGCAGAGGCGGAAGGTAGGACGTGGGAACTGCTCCAAGCTTTTCCCCCTTCTCTGGTACATTTGTGCATGAGGGAGCTGCATGGGGGAAAGAAGGAATTCTGGGATGCTTCGCAAACAATCACGGTCTTCTCCAACGGGATCTGTAGGTGTCCCTCTCCTAAACTCATGCTGGGGGCTGGGAACACTGAGGACCACGTAGTCACACATCAAGGAAACATCATTTAGCGATGCAGCACTTCTTAGAGGCATCGAGGTACTTGGAAGGATGCGTGAATTCATGCCCCTCCTGCCCCAAGGTCCACAGGAGTCTCCAAGGCCCTCCTTACTTGCAGTGATGGACAACCTAGGGTTTGTCACTTTGAAGATGTTGGGAGAGGACACACAAATGACCTTAGATCCTAACTCTTGAGTCGGACTACATCCTTGGGAGCAAGATCGCCTGGGGGATCTCACTGTGATCTTTGAGGCTTCCTGAGCCTTCAGTTGTTCTTCAAAACCAACTCTGTTAGGACAAGCTGGTCCATCTTTCTTCTGCGAGTGATGCTCCAATAGGAGTCTTGCTCTGGAATCATTAATTTCGGCAGGTGATACTGGCATTAGCTTAGTGAAGCCTAGTTTTTCAGCCTTCTGAACACCTGCCATGATCAGGAGCTGTGAGTCTGGCTTAGCTGAGGGTTTCAACTTGGCAGGACTAGAAAATGGGTTAGCAGTGGAGGAAGGTGGCACATCTCTACCAGCCGGGATGCATGTCAGCTGCTGTTGAACAGCATGGTGATTCTGCTTAGCTGGAAGGATAGGTGGGTTATTAAAGAGTCGGTGCTGGACCTGGGAGTTGGATCACAAAATTGAGTTATTGATCTAAGAGAAAGAGGCAGCTGTTACAGACATAGATAAATACAGATCGTATTAACAGACTCTAAAAGAAAGTGATCCAAAACATTCTCTATGTGAGATCAAACGATTTTCTCTACAGGTTCAGATTTCTTAAATTTTAAAAGAAAAAAAATTGTAATTTCTGTAAGAGTAGCACATGGTCATTATAAAAGACTTACACAATATATAAGAATACAAAAAAGTTGGAAGAAAAATCCCCGCAGCGTCTACTTCCCTTAAACAATCATCATTAACATTAGGGCAATGTCATTTCAAGCATTTTCTTTACATATATGAAAGAGAATAAGAAAACGAAAAGACAGAAATATTTTTAGAAAAGGAGGATCTTATGTAAGAAATCCAGTTCTGGTGAGACTGTGGTCTAGATAACTTGAAAAAGCTCTGGCTATAAATACCTGAAGATACTAGAACGAAATATGAAGTGACATAAACACCATGCTCATAAGAAACTACAGGAAATCACTGGGAGCCACAAGCAATGACAGAACCGAAAGCCAGAGTGTTATGTGTGTGAGATGACACAGTGACTCCTGGGTGGGATGTTGATCCTGGCTGGAGTTATTATTTTGTTTCTTTGCTTTACCCATTTAGTTATCACCTCCCCCCCACCCCCCACTCCCACCACGCAAATAGTTTTTAATTAGATTTTTAAAATAGCTCATCACAGAGCCAAGTTCCTGAAAATCCATCCTTAGTCGGGTAGTTGAGCAAATGAAGAACCATTGCCCTGGAAGTATTTGCAAAAGCAATACAAATGACCTCTGATCCTAGAAGAGACAACCACAACCACAGGTCTGAGACCAACGGTGTGTCCATTTGTACCATAACAGAGCAAAGGAAGGTTAGCAACGATGCTGATGATAACTTTGAGGGTCTAGGTATGGACAAGAAATGATTCTACCTAAAATTCCTTAAATCTTTATTAAATCATATTCTTTCATGGGAAAGTCACTTAATTCCTCATGCCACAAACTCATTTGGACTTCTGTGAGAAATATGGTTTTTCTACTTCCTGTTGTTGATCACAAAAATCCCCTGTATCTGAGAAGATTAAAAAACAAATACAAAACACGCCAAAAACCCCCAAAAACGGCCTGGAAAACAAAAAACCACTAATGGATTAAGGTGTCTTGCCAATTCTCTACAGAAATAATATTATGGCCCTTTCAGAAGCAAAGCATGCATTTCTCGTGATGAATTGTTTTCCAACTGTATACAGCTAGTTCAATTCTCTACTTCTACTGGATGAACTCACTGTAGCCAATAGCCTGGTCAATAGGACATGGTGACACTTGCTAACGTACTTACCTCCTTGGCCCAGGCTGGTTTCTCACTAGGACTCATCCCTTCTTTGTAATGGTACAGTGGCTTCTTCTCCACAGGCCTCTGCTCCTGCCGCTGGTGCTGAAGAGACACCAAATAGTCTCTCTCTTGCTTCAGCTGTCTCTGTAGTCTTTCTGCTTGTCTCTGTTCTTCCAACTGTTTGCGCTTATATTCCTATCCAGATCAGAAAAGAGGAGCGAAGAAAAGGCCAAATCACCATATGGAAACCATCGGCCAGCACTGGAAAAGCATGCAACGGAGCCGGAAGAGATGGTAACAAGGGGCCTTAATGCTAACAGGGAGGCGCCACAGAGGTAGGCCACAGCCAGGGGTTACCACTTAGTGAAAACACTGTTGCTTTCATGGAAATCCCTTCAGAACACCACCCATTGCAAAGTGACTTGCCCCTGAAACGTGACCAAGAAAGTGGCAATAATGAGGACATTTGGATGGTCAGCACACGACCCCTAGAAGGAGTCATCCACTTCCTGATTTAGTAATTAAACCATTCAAACATGTCCAATTAAGTACAAAACTAAGTAAGCAGTTACAGATAATTGCTTAAATCATCTTCTGTTTAACAAAAACTTGGACCAACAAAGGCCATTAGCAAGCGTATGCACAGGCTAAAAAATATCACCGTGCCGCTGAATAAGAAGTTCAGTTAAAAAATATATATCAAGAAACTCATTTGGAGAGCAGTGCAATAATAATAAAAAAGTACTTCAAGTGGAAGCCGTGTGAGCAGGGAACACAAAATGTTCCCATCATAAGGGTAAAACTAATAGTCTGCAAATGAAATATGACTGCAGAGCTGAGTGGGCTCTTACAGAAGAGGTGCATTTTGCTGTGATTGTATTCCAGCATGTTGCAAATGACCTTAAAAATTACTCCACAATAAACACAGTGGCTCTCAAAAAACAGTCTGAACTTGTAATAAGACAGGATTCATGCTAAAGTTTCACAAAGAGGCGGAGTTAATAAGGAACACATAACATGTGTCTCAAATGTATGAAGATGGCAAACTAGGTCAGGAGATGTATTAAGTTTCCATGAGACTTTCTGAGGTCCATGAGGCTTGGAGGATCCCCTCTTGTGGACTGGCATGTTAGGGGGACACACACAGGGACACACGCACACACACGGTGAACACAGAGCGGGTTGCTGGCCCTTGGCTTCCCCATTACCAGAAGTAGAGCTTGTTCATGCAGTAGCTGCTGTTGCAAGATCTCTAACTGTCTCTGCTCCTCCTCTAACTGTCGCCTGATGTACTCCTGGAGAGGTAGGCAGCAGAGAATTCAGAGGAACACAAAGAGAGAAAGAGAGAGAAAGAACCGGTAATTTCAAAGGTGACAAGAGCTGCCGAGTAAAGTGTGGAAGGAAGGAGTGAAAAAAATACCCAGACGCCTCCTCACCAAACAGGAAAAGTACCAAAGCCAAAGCATTTCAATGCAGTCAAAAGCACAAGCTCGCTACCTACAGCAGCCGACAGAGATGGCTCAGTGCTTTGTCCTTACGATTTGGTTTTAATCGGCTACATCTTAAAGCTTTTCATTACAGGTTCCCTCTTTATGGGCTACCCGGAATTAACAACGCTATAAAGTTCAAAGGCAACTGTGCAAGCAGCAGGAATAAAATAATTGTTGAATGCCATCGTGCACAGTCTTTGTAATGGAACCATCCCGCAGAGCGCCACCGTGCTGCTGTCAGAATGCGATTGTAACAAAGAGACAGGGTCCTGCATCCATGGCTCCGTCATGGAGATGGGAGATTGCAGGAGTGGAAAAGCCCTTCTAAAGCAATGAAAGATGTGGCTCGTTCATTACGCCGTGGCGCTACCTTCAAAGTACATACCCAGGGCTGGGAGAACCCTAAGATCAAGGTATGTCAGGGGACTCTGGCCTGGGTAGGAAGCGAGGCTCAATGAGTGGGCATTGCCAAGGCTGTGCATTTGACTTCTTGAATAGGTGAGAAGAGCAGCTCGAGAAAGAGTAAAAACCTGCTTAAACTGAGCAGTCCTAAGAGAAGGTGACCCACACCCCAGGGACGGCGGGCGCCGGAGCTCACACAGGGGCCGTCTGCGGGCTCCGTCCCCGCTGTACCTGCTCGTGCTCCGCGCGCCGCCTCTCCTCCTCCCGGCGCATCTGCTCCTCGTAGTGCCGGCGCTGCTCTCTCTCCTGCTGCTTCCGCAGCTCCTTCTCTCGCCGTTGTTGCTGTGGGGCCACAAGCGGACAACCATGAAGGAAAGGGGCCTGGTGCTGAGCCGTCGGGACAGCAGCAGCAAGGGCTGCAGAGCCGCAGACGTGCCCTCTTCTCCAGAGATGCCTACGTGCCCAAAGGCTCTTTCTGTCCCGTGCTATTGGGGGAATCGCTGGCAAGGATGGGCTGATAGCAATTCAGTGTCACCCCCAACACCCTGTCATTTCCGATGCAAGTACTCTCCAGATTTTAGTCCTCCCAAGAAGTTCCTGTTAAGTGCATTCTCCCTATTGGCTAATGATGGTTTTCAAACCAGGGGTAGGAAACATCAATGCAAAGTAAGTTACTCATTACATATCATCAAACTGTTTAGGAGATTCTGTAGGTTTTAAGGGGCACCTGCGTGGCTCAGTTGGTTGAGCTTCCCACTCTTGATTTCGGCGGAGGTCATGATCTCACAGTTTGTGAGATTGAGCCCCACATTGGAACCTGTGCTGACAGTGTGGAGGATGTTTGGGATTCTCTCTCTCTCTCTCTCTCTCTCTCTCTCTCTGCCTCTCCCCAGCTCCCTCTCTCTAAATAAATAAACTTAAAAAAAACACATTTGCAACACTCATGTCATTCAATTCTTTTGACACCACGTAGAGCAATTATTTCGTAGATAAAAGAAAGCAAAATCCAAAGAAATAAAGTGTCATATTCAAGGCCATACAGTAATTAATGGCTGAGAGTACAACAAAATTCATTGATTCTGACCCTGTCCATTACCCTCTCCGATACATCATGCTGCCTTTACTTATTTTCTGAAGAATTCACTTGTAAGTGTCAATTTCAATGTCTCACTCAATAAGACCTTTAAATTCATCATCATCTCATACAATCACCATGCCTCTGAATATGGACAGTGTGGTAAGCATCTTTCATGCTTTATCATATCTAATCTTCACAAAAATCTGCTGAGGTAGGTATTATTATCATCCCCATTTTATATGAGAAAACCGAAGCTCAGAGACATTAAGCGATTGTTGAAGGTCATCCTCACGTTCAAGGTCATGCCCAGTAAGTGGTGGAGTTTGATTTCAAAGCCAGGCAATATGACTCCACAGTCTGAACTCAATCACTGCAGAAGATGAGGAGGCAACAGGGGGTGACAGAAAGATGACAGACGAATCCAGCTCTTCATTACATTCTCAGAAAAGGAGAACATCTTAGGAACAGTTACAGGAACCAGCGTTTGCCAATGGGACAGTATCGTTCCCTAATCCCTGGAGCATCTGGAATGTGTAGGGGCATGTGGGAGTTTTTCTGGTTGTCTCTATGACCGGAGGACATGACTGGCGCTTAGCATGAAGTGTCAGGGATGCTAAAACTCCTGCAATGTACAGGACAGTCACACATTACAAAGTATTTTCCTATACCACATGCCATCCGTGCTCCTTTTGAGATATGCTGTAGCCCTTGGTATTGGATCTCTGTACTGGCATTGGGAGTTCTTCTTCCTCAAATATGAGGTTTGAGGGAACCGATTGGAGGGGGGCGTCCGATTCTCTTTTAACGTTTTTTTCCCTCTTGTAACATTCTTAACAACACGTCACTGCCTGGCTGAGAAAATATGAGGTATCGAAAACAGAATGGATTGTGACTATATCACACTGACAAGCTAGCTTTATACAACCAGGGAAAGAGCCTTCTAATACAAAGGCTCTCTGTCACAGCCACAGCTCACCCAAGCAGACATTCAGACCTCCAAAGAAGCCCACAAATGAGGAGGCCTTCCTAATGTGGCCTCCTCCTGCAATCCGTTGAAACTGCTGTCTTCCAATGATCTCTGAGGTTTGGAGATAAGCTACATTTTTTGAGACTCAACATCTGTCACTTCCAGATCAACAATTATCTGTCCTCCTCAGATTGTAGGTGATAGGGAGCCATTGGAGGACTTCCTGCAGTCAAATGCCATAACCAAACTTGCATTTTCAAGGGGCTTCCTAACAGTCATGGGAGGAAGCATAACTAGAAGCTGGAATACAGTGCTAGGCCATTCTGTGGGTACAGACAGAAAATAACAGGGCACCAATGAATTAAGCAAAGGCAATTGGAGAGTCCATGTTCATAATCGCTGCTGAGAATGGAGACACAGCCAAAAGGAAGACAGACTAAAAGCTATCCAGGTTTCCAACTCTTCTAACAGGACTGGAGTGGATGCCAAGTTAGAAGTAGAAATTAGAATTAGGCCAAAACAGAATAGGCAGGATTTGGGGACTATGGGGCTTGTGAGGGTGAGTGGAGTTCCTGGCCAAGGAGCAGAGCAGATGGTTTGAAACAGAGAGGAAAGGTAGGTTTAGGGAAAGGAATGAGGGGTGTGTTGGGGGATAGGGATGAATCAAGCTCCAGACATGTAATTATTTGTTTTACAGAAAAATAATACAGGAAGATGCGAGTAGAAAACATCATCATAGGAACTGACTGAATAATTTGGATTACAGACCCAAAACAGAGATCTTTCCAACACTCAACCCAAGTGAACCAATGCCAACACAGAGGATAAAATAATTATGTGTACAGATCTGGCTCCTGGCAGGAACTAGCCCTAATTTAGCTAACATTTCAAGATTTTTACTCCCACCATCGGTCTCTTTCTTGACAAAAAAAAATAATCAAGGCTTTTGAAGATTTAGCTGATTTTTATGTGAAGGATTTGTACATTTTCAACCCCTTCGCCAGGAAATCAATACTGTTTTATAATTACATGCCACTCAGGTCCTTGTGTGAGGTGTACAAAGTATTGATTGCCACTCAAGAGGGTCTGGGCTTCCCAAGTACTCTGTAGTTTCTGAGAAAGACACTCAGAAGTGACTAATAATTAATAATGATCTCATTCAGATCAGCTGCCGCTAACGCATGGAGGCATCTGCCAGGGCTTTGGTTCCCGTGGCGAGGTTGGAAAAATAAATCATTCCCCAACCTTCTGAGGGCACCTTGCCAATTTCCAGCTGCTGTGTTCCAATGTCAATGCCTTTCCCGGAAAAATCTTTGCTTTCTTTCCTCCTGGGCATGGAGCTGTTTTTGGGTACATACCAAAACATGTCACAGAAAGACCAAGTCCCCAACCTCAAGCAGATACCTCTACAAAGACCTGAAGACTCTTATTAGAAGCAGCTCCTTGAGGGAAGGCTTATGCTTGATTCCCTCTGGACCCACAGCCTCTTATGTGGGGCTAGGCAAGTGGAAGGTACACAGAAGATTCTTTGAACGGAACCAAGTAAGAAAGATGGGACAAAGAAGACAACACAATATCTTAAATTCCTTGGGGGCATCGTCTGTCTCATTAATCCTTAGAGTTTGTATCACATTGTGTGTTAAATTATGTTTATCTGAGTATGTCTTACTTACTCTACAATCTAAGATGAAAGCTATTTGTGGGCAGGATCTCTGTTCCACTCCACTTTTTATCTCCTACTTAATCCCATATTGGGCCCGATACCATTGATATCTGTTGCAATGAATACTGTAAACTGAGTACCAAGAGAAGAGGAGAAAGCCTGGTGGGGCCTCAAACCACTCCTCCACCCTTCTATGCCATTCTCAGACCAGAATGTTCTTTTATGCTGAGCATAGACAAGACCTGAGAGTGTTTATCTAAACAGAGAGCCACCAACAACTAGCACTGGCATGGTACCTATTTGCCATCTTAAAGAAAGGCGGGAAATTAAAATAAGGGAATAAGAGTCTATGCATCCCCAAGTTGCCTTTTTAAAAATTGTCTCTTATTTGTTTGTTTGTTTGTTTGTTTGTTTATTTTTAAATTCAAGTTAGTTAACATATAGTGTAACAATAGCTTCAGGAGAATTTAGTGATTCATCACTTACATATAATACCCAGTACTCCTCCCAACAAGTGCCTTCCTTAATGCCCATCACCCATTTAGCTCATCCCCCCACCCATCCACAGCAACCCTCAGGTTGTTTCCTGTATTTAAGAGTCTCTTATGGTTTGCCTCCTTCTCTCCTTTTATCTTATTTTTGCTTCCCTTCCCCTGTGTTCATCAGTTGTGTTTCTTAAATTCTACATATGAGTGATATCATATGATATTTGTCTTTCTCTGCCTGACATATACTCTATACATCCATGTTGTTGCAGATGAAAAGATGCTCACCATCGCTGATCATCAGGGAAATACAAATCAAAACCGCAATAAGCATTTCTAAATTTCATTCAAACTATGCATAAAGATGACAGTGGTCCTGCTGTCAAAAAGGAATGGCTTAAACCAACCATCCTAACACTTTTGGCCGACATCCTACCTTTACTGAACTGCCTAGAAGCATGTTTTCATCCACATTTTCTTCACAAATCGTACCACTTAAAATTAGACATTCTGTGGGGTCTTACAAGTGTCTTAATTTTTTTCCCCTGGGTGGGGGATGATTGATAATATCCACTCTGAAAATTTCTGAGGCTAAAATCAATATTGCCCTGCTCTATGGAGTAGGTCATGGGGGTCTTGTTGCCCTAATGTCTTCTACGGATGTTCTCAAGGAATAATTTTGGTTTGGGCAGCTTTGGTTTTCCCCTTGGGTGTTCCCCTCAGGTCACCTCCCGGTGAAGGCTGTGTGGCTGTACTTCAAGTATGTGAACTAGTTAGTTTATTTTAATGAAATAATCTTGTTTCCTTGCTCAGGGAACCCTCAAAGGTTATACATTTATTCCAGACTGATTTTGCAGAATTTTGGCTCCTCAAATTCTTGCAAGAGAATATCACCTTAACTCTTACATGTTCGATTCCTATTGAAGTTGTAACAAATAATCCTCATGGCTGATTGTCACCAAAGTTCTGGTGTTGATCTTTCTTTCCTTTTGTTTCTTTAAATGCTCCTTTTAGATTAAGTTTAACCAGCAGAAACGTGTTACCTCCACCAGGGTGCTCTGGCTCTTGTAGAAGTGACTTTTTGATGAGCTGTCAGGCCATAAATTGCATTTTATTTTATTTTTATTTTTTTAAATGTTTATTTATCATATTTGAGAGAGAGAGAGAGACAGAGTGCGAGTGGGGGAGTGACACAGAGAGAAGGAGTCACAGAATCTAAAGCAGACTCCAGGCTCTGAGCTGTCAGCACAGAGCCTGATGCGGGGCTTGAACTCACCAACCGTGAGATCGTGACCTGAGCCGAAGCCTGATGCCCTACCGACTGAGCCACCCATGTGCCCCCTATTTTAATTTTTTTAAGTTTATTTATTTATTTTGAGAGAGAGTGAGCATGTTAGTGGGGGAGGGCAGAAAGAGAGACAGGGAGAGAGAGAGCCCCAAGCAGGCTTTGTGCTGTCAGCGTGTGGCTTGATTCCACAAACCATGAGATTATGACCTGAGTTGAAACCAAGAGTGGGACACTTAACAGACAGAGCCACTCAGGCTCCCCATAACTTGCAGTTAAAGTGTTATCAGAACAGCTGAAAAAAGCCAACCACTGTGTTTATGCTAGGAATATCACCTCACACATCATTCATGGCACTACTCCAACCACCACTAGGCAAGGGTAGAGGTTCCAGGTTATCTCAGAAAGCTTACTTGAGTAACAAGTTTACTCTGATCTGATGGACAACATGAATCTCAAACCACTCGTTTGCCTCTCTTCTTAGTTGCTAGGGTCAGACTCTCAGAGTCGGACTGGTGGTCCCCTCAGGCACCTGCACCTGGTATTCTGTGAACTGACCCTACCCTGGCTTTGTCTTGTTTTTTCTCTTCTGCTTTAAAGTCCCTTTTGCTTAATTTTCTCATTTACTTTATTCTTAGTTGCTATATTAATCTCTGTAAGCCACCTTTCATCCTTTTTTTTGGAGCAAAGAAGAATCATAAAGAAGGGTATACACAAACAAATGAGGAACAGACCTTGGATCTCCAGGGATTTTGAAACTTCAAAGCTTCCCTTGGAAAGATCAAAATGAGATAAACAAGAAGTCACAGACTTGTAATTTGGTTCCTTGCTTATGAAGATGGCATGTGTGTTGATGACCCCTGAGCAAGTGGTTAAAGTTGTTTTTACAACATGGCAGTCAGTTTTCTCTGATCCTACCACAACCTCTCAATGAAGAGCTGTTGAGGCGAGCAATGGTAACACAC